TTGTTCATATTGAATATTTTTGGCTAATGTTAGAGAAGAACATATATGTCCCACCTTACAGTTGGTAGGGGAATGAAATATGCTTCATTCAAAGAATAATGTATAGTAAAACTTATGTCATTTTAACCTTGTACACACATTTTGTATACACGAGTTATTTTACTTGGAACAAAAAACTTGTAATTTAAACAATTAATTTTTTATTGACACAAACTTAACACATAATACACCTTTTTAGAAGGAGTTATTTCTTATAAATCGGTGAAGTTGTTTTCAAAAGATTAAGTACTACAACATAAAGGTAGCTTTCCAGCATAAAATACCTTTTGCATAAAAAACACTTAAATCATTTTTAAAAAATGAAGGCCTAAAGTTTGTGGCTAACTTATCAGTAGCCATGAAAAATCCTATAAGATAACGTTGATTCAAAGAATATACCAATTACAATATATCCAACTACAATATATATGATTACATCAAATACTCTATCAGATATGTAAACCACTTATCATACACAGATACATAAATACAACATGCACATCTTTTTGTATGACCGTTTGGATCATTAAATTAGTTACTTCCGCATCTTATGTTATATCTATTGTGAATATCAAATCACATTTTATCTATTATAAATATCAATTCATGTTTTAAGTGCAAATTGTAAATATCAAATCATGTTTTAAGTACAAATTGCTTTAAGTCATGCAAAAATTACTGTTTTCTGGGTTTCAAAACTTGAAATCATGTTTTTTAAGCCTATAAGTATGAGAATAGAAAGAGAATATTAATCATAGAACATGCATTCACAACATATAATTTTGTGCTTTATTTTAACACAACCCGCATTCTATCACTATTGAACATAGAAGGACCAAAAGTGTGTGTTTTTATGCAACAAAATCACTGTTGGCGTTCTATATTTAGACATGTGAAGTAACCAAAAGAAATATGAGTAAAAAAGTACGGAAACAAATTGTGCTCAATATAGCTTAATATCAGGTTCTGAGTGATACATTTTCCAGGAAATTAACCACTTTTATCTTGTCTATTAACTACATGTTACTTTCCCTCCCATAACATTACCTACAATCTAATAGTATAAAACACATTATTATAGTTTCACTTTGTATGTCACTTATTGAATAAAAAGATATAATTTCTTCTGGTTATTTAAGACTTTCTTAATGCATTTACAGAAGATATACATACATGTATATAATAAACAGAAAATATCATGGATGTGCTGTCTCATCTTTGTTGATTGTATACAGTCATCATTTATAGCATATGTATGCAAAATTCCTTAAATTTTCTCTACAATGATAGAACAAATATGACATTTATTACAATCTTTAGCATTTGTCTTTATATAAAATACTAGAAAGTTAAAAAATATGGCATAAGGGAAACAACTCTTGCATCATTTTCTTTCCTACTTCACACACAAGTACTACAGCTTGACTACTTAGCATTTAAAAATGAGAATAGAAGATTAAAATGCTGAGCTAGTTTTCCTTGATTACATACAATGATGAATGCAGCAAACAAAAGTGTAATTTGATTTCAAAGTGGACTAGTCTTCAATGGGCATATTTTACATAAATATTTCAAATGTTGATAAGAACACCAGAAATGTATCATGTGGATCAAGTTGAATAAAAAGATGCTGATTAAGTTGTAAGGGATTACGAATGGACCTTTACATGATGATTAATATTTTGTTCTAGGACATTTTATTATCTGCTACAAATATATATGTAATATAAGATCATGTATCTCACACAAACCAACAACATTCATATATATTCTTTTGTGTTTTGTTGTTATGTCTGATACATATTACTATCAACATAAATATTTATAGTATTATAGTCTTTATATTATATACCAATTCCCTTTCAAGAATCTAATCAAGTAACAATACAAAACTGACTTTTTAAAGACAATGAATAGTGTATTTAATTTCATTGAAATTGACCAATATTTTCAAAGTTTTAAAACTGGTAGTTGAAATAACAATTACAGTTGACTAAAACTATCACTGTATGGGATTCATACCCAATGTCCTTAGAAGACGCTGATTTGAATAGATGGGAAGGAGGAACTAGAACTATCGCTGAATGCGATTCATACCCCCACCAATGTCCTTGACAGAAGACGACTTGGAAAGGTGGTTAAGGAAATAACTTAAGTCGCACAAATACATAAAAAGAAATTATCTCTGTTGAAAAAAAGACTTATTGTACAGGTAATAGTATAAATATCTATTATCAAATCATGTTCGAAACAGTTACAAATAACCTTACATTTTCCCAATATACTAAACTTTTTGTAAGTCAATTTTTGACCTTCAAGTGTGGCCTTGACCTTAAAGGGGCAACATTCCCTGCCGCGGCAGCGAGTATTTGTGGGTGTGACTAATCAGTGATATAAAACTGTCTGTTATAAACCCTGAACTATAAATAGCATGCAGTGTTAACCTGCAGAGAGAATGTAAACAAAAACAGCTGATTTTACACAGGAGAGGTTTAATACTCAAAGATTAATTAAAGACATTATCAAGTCATCTTGTCCAAATACTATTTTTGAAGTCAGTTGTTTTTCTTTTTTTTCACTGGAATGCTTTATGTGTCATTCATCAAGTCAGACAATTATATCAAAATCCAAAAGATGTGCCTTACATGGGGCATTTCTTTTAGGAACAACCTGCTAAAAATGTTCTTGACAGGAATTTAAAATACTTTTAAACTGTTAATGTATAAATTTTTTATGCATATCCAACATTTAGTTTGATTAACATTTGTGAAATGTAATTTTTGACTACAAGATATTTACAAGTAAATGAAATATACCTGGAAGTTTTTACTGTTTTCATGAAGTTTAAACCATTCAAAAACAAGTTAAATCAGTACTTTGAAATTAAAAAAAAATCATAGATTAATGGATTATTGTAAATTTGTTGGATTTGATAAAGCAAGTCAGTAAAAGTTATTGTTTTATTCAGCATTCCAATGTGTCGTCTGCTGAAAATCTCCCTCCCTGAAATATACATCGTCTGCTACAAATCTCTCTCCCTGAAATAAACACTGCCACGTGCGTCTGTTTACTACTGAAGGTTCATGACCTGTTATGATCACATGGCTCCTCCCAGGGAAATTCAAATTTCAAATTTGACAGCCAGTATTTTTTTCCAGAAATACACTTAACAAAGTTATATTTTGAATATTTTTGGTCAATCTTTATCAAAAATATCTTTGCCTACAAACATGCCAAGTGTTGTTTAAATGCATTTGGTAATTAATCTTAAATCTTTGAAAAAGGGTCCCTGAAGTGAAGCATGCATAAAATTAATAAGAAACCTGCCCTAGCGCCATCTGCTGGCTTTTATAGTCCAGTTGGGCCTTTAAGCTGGCACAAGGGTAAGATGGGTTCTGCACATCGCCCAATTGGGGTGTACATTTGAGTAAAGTTTTAAGAAAATCCTTCCATTAGTATAGAATTTATAGAGCGGACACAACATATATTCTAGTATTGATTGTATGTAAATTTAAAGACTTAAAAAGGGGCATAACTTTGTCAAAATGCAATACTGAGTTATGAAACTTGACCTGCATATCGTAATTGTGACACCTCATATATCTTTTAAGTTTCAAGCAAATACCTGTGCTAGTTTCAGAAATATTCAAGAACATGTTAAAATCTAAGAACATTTTCTAAGTCAATTTTTGACCTTGACTTTTAGACTGCACAAAGGTGACATGGATTCTGCACATAACCTTGTTTAGGTGAACATTTGAGTAAAGTTTGAATAAAATTCTTCCATTAGTATAGGATTTATAGAGCGGACACGACATATTGTCTAATATGTGATTGTATGTAAATTTGAAGATTAAAAGGGGCATAACTTTGTTTAAATGCAATACAGAGTTATGAAACTTGACCAGCATATCTTAATTGTGACATTTCATATATATTTTAAGTTTCAACCAAATACCTTTCCTAGATTCAGAAATATTCAGATATATGTTAAAATTTAAGAACATTTTCTAAGTCAAATTTTGACCTTCAAGTGTGACCTTGACCTTAAGCCAGCAAAAGGGTGACATGGGTTCTGCACATCCCCTTGTTGAGGTGAACATTTGAGCCAAGTTTGAAGAAAATCTCTCAATTAGTGTAGGACTTACAGAGCGGACGCGACATACTGCGTAATATTTGATTGTTTGATATTTGACCTTCAATTGTGACCTTGACCTTAAGCCGGCAAAAGGGTGACATGGGTTCTGCACATCCCCTTGTTGAGGTGAACATTTGAGCCAAGTTTGAAGACAATCTCTCAATAAGTGTAGGACTTACAGAGCGGACACGACATACTGCGTAATATTTGATTGTTTGATATTTGACCTTCAATTGTGACCTTGACCTCAAGATGACAAATGGGCAACATGGGTTCTGCACATCCCCTTGATGAAGTGAACATTTGAACCAAGTTTGAAGAAAATCTTTCAATAAGTGTAGGACTTACAGAGCGGACACGACATATTGTGTAATATTTGATTGTTTGATTTGACCTTCAATTGTGACCTTGACCTTAAGATGACACATGGGCAACATAAGTTCTGCACATCCCCTTGTTGAGGTGAACATTTGAACCAAGTTTGAAGAAAATGTTTCAATTATTGTAGGACTTACAGAGCGGACACGACATACTGTCTTATATATGATTGTGTTTGATATTTGACCTTCAATTGTGACCTTGACCTTGAGCTGACACATGGGCAACATGGGTTCTGCACATCCCCTTGCTGAGGTGATCATTTGAGCCAAGTTTGAAGAAAATCCTTCAAGTGGTATAGGAGTTATAGAGCGGACACGAAAATGGAGACGGACGGACCGACCGACCGACCGACCGACTGACCGACCGACCGACCGACCGACCGACGCGACAAAGCGAATCCATTATAGCCCCCCCCCACATTTTGTGGTGGGGGTATAATAAATTGTATGACATAAAATGCATAAAAAAGAAATTGTCTCTGACAGAAAGAAAAGTATACAGGTAAAAGTACTGGTAAAGAATATTAATTTAAAATAAAATCATGATGGCACAAAAAAATACAAACTTAAACAATAGCACCACATGCAGTATTAAAACTCGTCTGTTAAGAATTTTAGGTTGAAAATAGACATTTCTCTAGAAATGTAGCTTTCAGAATCAAGTCCCTTGTCTAAATACTTCAACTTGTCATGATAAGCAAGTATTCCAAGGTTCATCTTGAATATTTTTTTTAAAATGGCTATGTTAGAGTATTTGCATGACAACAATGATGACAAGGCTGCAGCAATCATAATAGTGTGTCTATTTCTTCAAAACAGAAAAGCTTAAATAGGGCATAACTTTGTCAAACTGCAATAATGAGTTATAGAATCTGAATTAAAGAACACTCTTGTGACCATATTTCAAATTTATTATAAACCTAAAAAATAAATATACATCCTGAGATTTATAAATAATACATATAATCTAAAGCCCGCAAAATCTATATTATAAACAATAATTTCATGCACTACACTACCCAATTTCTATAAATAAAGAGTAAAGACTGGTAAGATTAGAATGTATATAAAAACGACACAAAGCTAACCATGGTTGTTAAAAGAAGTATTCAGAATTTATATTATGTGTATAAAATATGATAAACAAGATCAACAAGGAAAGGCGACGTTCAAAGTTCATTAGCTAATAATTTGATTAAAGGTGTTTCTATGCATATTTCATAAAGTTTTATAAGAAACAGAACTAATTTGGCAACATGCTCAAGGGAGGTTACTATAAAATTGATGTATATATAAGATTAGAAGGATAGCCCAACTATTTTTTATAAAGTCAAGTTTAATGTGTAGTTTATTTTGTATCATATCCCCTTTAAGGTCAAGTCTTGATGTGTCTCTATATTCTAGGTATCACATCTGATCCATGGAAGAGTTTTGGTTGTATACTGAGAAATCAATAGGTGGTAAATGGTACATGTTGGCATTTGCTGGATAGTTAGAATGGTGGGTTATCATAGGAGTACTGAGTGTATAAACGAATGACTCTGACACATTCTGCGAGGCAGGTAATGGAACAGTTTTGTCCTGGAAGTGGCACTGATCCTCCACCATACTCTTATCAGATGAAGAAGAAGATGATGATGACGTGGGATACCCTGATTCTTGAGCTACACTTGAAGTAGAATGGTCTATATTCTTAGATTTCTTGTCACTAATTGCATCATCTTTTACACCAAGAATCTGGCCGCTCTTGAGATTTTTATATCGAGCTTTCATTTCAACACTATGTCTAGTAACAACCTCAAGTTTATGAACACTTCTCTGGTGCTTTATAAGATTACCTCTAAAGAATGTACTGTACTCACACAGATGACACTTCTCGTGTTTCTCTCCCTACAATACAACAAAACTATACAATATGAGAAACCCATCAGAAAATATAGCTCCATATCAAACAAATACATTTATTTTTTGCTCCAGGATATAAGTTTATCATGACTTAGTATTTAAAAGGAATAAATATATGAACAAAGGTGTAAGGTCAAATTTCTTAAAATAAATATACATGTATATTTTTTTAATCTAGATAAACTACTATATATATACATCTGACTGATTAAACATGGTATTTACTATAATTATTATTAAGTACACATTTAACTTTCATAAAATATCAAATTAATCAATAGCAGTTGATCTACTATCAGGGAAAATCTGACAAAGTTTTTGTATACATATACAACAGATTCTTCATTGCATACTTTTTTTATAAAAGCTTTTTCTGTTTTGGTTGGGTTTTACGTCAAACCAACCAAGTATAGATCATATGTCCATTTTCCAGCTTTACTGGTGGAGGAAGACCTCAGGTGTCATTCCATGCATTACTTCATGCACAAATGAGCACTTAAGTAGAACCATCAACATTCTGTCAGCCAGCTGGATAGCTTCCTCACATAAAAGAATCCAGAGTTTTTTGGGATTTGAACCTACAGCAGTAAGGGGCAAGTGGTTTAAAGTCAACAACATTAACCACTTGGGTACGGATGCCCCTCATAAAAAAAGTTTTCTCCACAACAATTCATTGAGTACAAAATACTGAAAACAACAAAATATATGCTGTATACAATACCTTTTGGGTATGTTGATTTTCTACATGATTTTTCAGGTGACAGTTCTTCAACGCTTTATATGTGCAATCATCAAATGGACATGGAATACGTTCAGCTGTAAAGTTGTTAAATTAAACTAATTGTATTGTTTACAAAATGTACATCATTAAATCACAATACTTGATGAAATTAACACATAAATGATATTCTTTTTATAATTAAGCATTCAAATATATATTCTATTGCTGTTATATACTTAACTTCAAAGCATTTTCTATCAAAAAAAGAAACTTCTATATTTTGTACACTTCTGTTTAGTTTCCTGCATATTTGCTATGGAATATTAGATTTATTTCACTAGTTGATACATGTAGATAGACTATGACCTACTCTGTAGTAACATGACATAGCCTTGTTTACAGATTACCTGTTTATTTATTTATATAAACATACAACAAATGTGGTGCTACATGCTGATTCTACATTATAGTCTACTGTATGCAAATAATTCTCCCAATTATCTAAACTTGAAAAACAAGGTAGCAATTTGGCTGAAATTAAATATAATTATTCTTTCATATTATAGCAAGAGAACATTTGTTTAAATAATGTTTGTAGAGTAGTAATCAATATGTTTTATAAAGGGAAGATAATAAAGACAAAAATACAATCATCACATACATGTATGAACAATCATATGAGTACTGAGACTATTTTTGGTCTTGAAAGCTTTGGAACATCTGTCACAGTGCCATTCCCTTTTATCTGGAAATATACAAATTCACAATAATTATCATTTATGTCTCATATTAAAGCAGCATGCCTCTAGATACATGCAAATACTGAAAATTTATTCAAAAGCAAAATACATATTTCTCAAGTTTAATTTTCTTGAAATTTTTTTACGTATCTGGAGGCATGCAGCTTTAAAGTAATGAAAAGGTTCATAAAATGGCCATAAGAGCTACACTAACAATATGAGAGATGATAATTCAATATGCTAATTTAGATAGAAATGTTAAGTTCTGTATGTTGTACAAGTTAGGAAATCAAGTTTAAATATAGGACTACATGTATATATATTAAAGTGAAGAAGACTTATGTTACCTTCATGAAGGAACATGTGCTTGTCAAAGAATCTTTTGTTGTTGTGACAATAATCACATCTTGGACAGCGGTATCTGAAAGAACAGGAACAACAAACATGTGAATACAACAAGTAAGTGTACGATTATCAAACAACAAACTAGTGGAAGCCACATAAGTTTATCAGCAGTGTTTTACACGCAACAGTCAAAACTAGAACTATCAATAAATGTGATTAATACCCCCGCAAGACTGCTTCGGAAATGAGGAAGTTACAAGTAACAGAATACCTTGTAAAAGAATTGAAATAGAGTTATGGTTGTGGGCAATTAAAGATAGTTGTGGTTTTTGTATGTTGCATTTCCTTACAATATGGTTGACCATTGGTGAAGTTTTATTGAATTACTCTGTAATAAATCCAGAAAGAGTTACGCTTCTTAAGCACTGCACTTCCTCTCATTGCGCTTGACCATTGTATGAAGTTGCATTGAATTATTAACATTAGTTTTAAGTTATGCATCGGACCAGGAAAAGGAACAAAGGGCAATAACTCTACAAATACTGAACATGGAGTTATGGTTATTGTACAGTGCACTTCCTCTCATTTCGCTTGACCATTGTATGAAGTTGTATTGAATTCCAACTACTAGTTTTCAAGTTATGCACTGGACGAAAAAGTAACAAAGGGCATTAACTGTAATGAGTCAAAATAGAGTTATGTCTCTTCTGCATTGCACTTCATCTCACTGCCCTTGACCATTGTATGAAGTTTCATTGAATTCTAAACATTAATTTTCAATTTATGCACTGGACATTAAAAAGTAACAAAGGGCAAAAACTCTTAAATGAGTCAAGAAAGAGTTAAGGTTTCTGTGCACTGCGCTTCCTCTCAGTATACTTGACCATTGTATGAAATTGTATTGAATTCCAAATAGTACTTTTCAAGTTATGCTCTGGACAAGAAAAAAGCAATGGAAAAGTATTAAAGGGCAATAACTCTGTAATTAGTCAAGATGGGGTTATGGTTCCTGTGCACTGCACTTCCTCTTAATGTGCTTGATCATTGTATTAAGTTGTATTGAATTCCAACCATTAGTCTTCAAGTTATGCTCCGGACAAGGAAAATGCAACGGCCGTCTGGACCGACCAACCAACCGACCAACCGAATGACCATCGGGTGACTCCTATATACCCCCACAAACTTTGTTTCGGGGGTATAATAATTATGTCGAGAGAACCAATCTCAACACACACAATGCTTGGACAAGATAATAATAGTTTATAAATTAAAACATAATGAATACATACACTGTGAAGCCTTCAGGTAATGGCTGATCATGTACTTTATATAGATGAAACGTGAGATCACTAGATGTTCTGTATGTCTGTGAACATATATGACACATCATCAAGTTATGTAGATTCTCTCCCCTGTGTCGTAACCTGATATGATGCTGAAATAATAACACATTGTGTGAAAAATATGAATTAACAAGAGGGCCATGATGGCCCTGAGTCGCTCACCAGAAACAACGGCTTTACAGTGTTGGAAATTATTTTTTAAAAGAATTTGCTGAAAGACAAGTCCAGCTCTTTTGGCAAGTTCAGCTTAACTTTAACTTGCCCCTCTAGTAATATACTTTCACAACACTGATTGTTTTAGCTTTTTTTCTTCATAATAAAAAATAGGGCCACTCAGATGGCCCTAGATCACTCATCTAACCCATCATTTCATGATTCACAATATAAATTGAAATATTTTGCCGCCCTAATATTTTGGAAAGGCTTTGTTAAAAATATGTATGTTGCAAGTGTGTTCTTATGAGACTATGTAGAATAAGTGCAGAATAAATGACCACTGGATCAGGATATATTTTGACTAAACAATTTTTTTTATAACTTTTTTGAATGAAAACACAAAATGTCACATGCAAAACATGTATCAAAATTGAATTCAACATCAAAAATTACACCCCTGGTCCAAATTTCAAGTCTGTACATAAAAGACAAAAAAGTAGGTAAAGCGATATCAAATATATCAAAAGTAGGCCAGTTCATATCAAAATTCAATTCAGGATCAGAAATTAAACCCCTTGTCCAAATTTCCAGCAGGTACATCAAAAAACGACAAACTAGGTCAAACAATATCAAATAATAATATTAAAAGTAGTCAGTTGATATCTTTATTCATTGCGCATCAGAAATTATATTCCTGGTCCAAATTTCAAGTCTCTGTACATCATTCCAAATTTCAAGTCTTTGTACATCAAAAACAAGAAAGTATGTGCAATGGTTTCAAAAATATCAAAAACAGTTCCACTGATACCAAAATTCAATTATGCACATGAAACTCATGTTCAACAGTCTGTTCCAAAATTTATTAAAATGTGCTTTTTCCAAGTTTAAATCCAATTCAAGAAAAAAAAAATGAAAAAAAAACAACAATTTTTAACAAAATTCAATAACAAAATTGAGCATACAAACTCATCTTTGTTAGTCAGGTACAGGAGAAACAAATTTAATGTTTCTTTAGGCCTATTTTTTTTTCCTGGTTAATGACCTACAACTGACCTTACAATGATGGAATATGATGTCCGATTTCTAGTGTTACACATCATAAACAGGTCATGACATTAAGACTTTCTCCATGCCATTGAACCTCTTTTGGAAAAATTGAATAACATAATTATGTACACATTTTTTTTTAATGCCTTTTAATCATTATATTTATACTATGACCTCCTATAGTGTGAAGAGTTTAAAACATAACATATCTTCTTTGTGTGAAGTCAAAACACGTTTATTTTATACAGGGTTCCCACAAAGAAGAGAAATCAAAATTCCCTGACTTTTCCCTGACCAAATCCATTTTTCCCTGACCAATAACAGCGTCAAGTTTGCTCAATCTTAGAGCATTTAATGTATTTTTTATACATGTATTTCGACCTCCTCCTCCCCAAACAGCCAACCTATTTTCACCAATTCTTTATTTTAAATTATTCAAGATAAAAAATAAATGAATATTAGCGAGCAATTGTCATAAGCTACTTGTCTTCTTTACTTTAAACAAGTATGAGTACATTTGTCCAAAATGTAAAATATTTGATAATACATGTTATGCTTAAAGATGTTTCATTCTCTTAACAATACAAAGCAGTGTTATCAATGGAGGATTGACTAAAACAGGCCTGCATTTTAATAAAATATATGATAGTTATCAATAGAAACTGGTATTAAACAAGAAACAATAAGACAGGTAATGAAGTGGCTTCTTAAAAAGCAAAATGCAGTAAAAGCTCATAATACTACTGATAAAACTAGCTATGGCAGTGAATAGTATCTCAAAGTTATGGTTTAATGCATATGTGCAAAAACACAACATGGCACTAAAATGATTGGTACTTAATCAAAGTCCACTTAGTGTTTTCTCAAGTTTCTCAATATCTTTACTGGATTCTTTTATTACTTTTCTTTGACCTTGACCCTGAAGGCATTGCACTTGGCATTTGACTTCACAAGCAGGTCCATTTTCATCTTTTTTCAGCCTCCTGAGCAGATTATCAGACTCTTTCACAAGAACAAACCATAAACAGCTCAGGAGGCAAGGGATGCTTAAACTTCTTTTAGCTTCTTTCTTAAAAAGATAGTTACTGTTAATGACAAAATCTTCAGACAAAAGCATAATCAGAATATAAAAATAAAACAGATGCTCATAATCAAAAATAACAATAAAGATACCCAAAGTCATGGAAGAAACTGCCTTAGCTTTTACTTATTTTGCTTCTTGCTGTTTGACAAACATTATTTTCTACAAAATTCCCTGACTTTTCCCTGACTTTTGCTTATTTTTCAAATTTCCCTGACCAATTTCAAAATTCCCTGACTTTTCCCTGACCTTGAAAAAAATCATTTTTCCCTGACTTTTCCCTGACAGTGGGAACCCTGTTATATTTATAAAAAGACTGTGTATGCATTGTCAATATTTTTTAATATTAAATTTGAGCATAGAATATCTTTAAACTATAATTTGAAGAAATGCCATGACCTGTGGAATTAAAGCTTTAGCTTAAACAGGGTCAATCAAATTAATATGACTAATGAGCAAACTTGATAAAAGCAACCTAAGAATGCTACAGACAAAGTTTGGTGATCATCCATCAAATATTTCATTAGGAGATGATGTTCAAAGGTTTTTCAATATTTAGCTTCAGCGGCCCCTTAAAGGGGCCAATCAAATTAATATGAACAAACTTGATAAAAGACTACCTAAGAATGCTACAGACAAAATTTGGTGATCATCCATTCATTACTTCTGTAAAGGAGACATTAAAAGGTATTTCTAATTTCAACTTTAGCTGCCCCTAAAAAGGGCCAATCAAATAAATATGAACAAACTTGATAAAAAACTACCTAAGAGTGCTACAGACAAAGTTTGGTGATTTCAGAAGGAAATGATGTTCAAAGGTTTTTCTATTTTTAGCTTTGAAGGCCCCTAAAAGGGGCCAATCAAATTAAAATGAACAAAACATGATAAAAGACTACCTAAGAATGCTACAAACACAGTTTGGTGATCATCCATCAATTAGTTCTGTAGAAGAAGATGTCTAAAGGTTTTTCTATTTTTAGCTTTAGCAGCCCCTAAAAGGGGCCAATCAAATTAATATGAGCAAACTTGATAAAAGACTACCTAAGAATGCTACAGACAAAGTTTGGTGATCATCCATCAATTAGTTCTGTAGAAGAAGATGTCTAAAGGTTTTTCTATTTTTAGCCCTAGAGACCCCTAAAAGGGGCCAATCAAATTAATATGAGCAAACTTGATAAAAGACTACCTAAGAATGCTACAGACAAAGTTTGGTGATCATCCACCAATTAGTGCTGTAGAAGAATACATTTGAAGGTATTTCTATTTTTAGCTTTAGAGATCCCTTAAAGGGGCCAATGAAATTAATATGAGCAAACTCAAAATTTAATATTTTACCATTTCATGTTTAAATGTTGAATTCTGCTTAAGCCGGTGCTAGGGGGCGTGGACGGTAACTTGCACTTTCCAGTACCGTCCATGAACAGGCTCAATCAAACCGAGCCTGCAACATTTTCAATTTTGCCGTGTTGGGCTTTCTTTAGGGATTCTGTATTTATCTATTATACTATTTGATAAAAGACTTCCAAAGAATGCTACAAACAAAGTTTGGTGATCATCCATCAATTAGTTCTATAGAAACAGACGTTTAAAGGTATTTCTATTTTTAGCTATAGCGGCCCCTAAAAGGGGCTAATCAAATTAATATGAGCAAACTTGATAAAAGACTACCCAAGAATGCTACAGACAAAGTTTAGTGATCATCCATCTATTAGTTCTGTAGAAGAAGATGTCTAAAGTTTTTCTATTTTTAGCCCTAGAGACCCCTAAAAGGGGCCAATCAAATTAATATGAGCAAACTTGATAAAAGACTACCTAAGAATGCTACAGACAAAGTTTGGTGATCATCCACCAATTAGTGCTGTAGAAGAATACATTTGAAGGTATTTCTATTTTTAGCTTTAGAGATCCCTTAAAGGGGCCAATGAAATTAATATGAGCAAACTCAAAATTTAATATTTTACCATTTCATGTTTAAATGTTGAATTCTGCTTAAGCCGGTGCTAGGGGGCGTGGACGGTAACTTGCACTTTCCAGTACCGTCCATGAACAGGCTCAATCAAACCGAGCCTGCAACATTTTCAATTTTGCCGTGTTGGGCTTTCTTTAGGGATTCTGTATTTATCTATTATACTATTTGATAAAAGACTTCCAAAGAATGCTACAAACAAAGTTTGGTGATCATCCATCAATTAGTTCTATAGAAACAGACGTTTAAAGGTATTTCTATTTTTAGCTATAGCGGCCCCTAAAAGGGGCTAATCAAATTAATATGAGCAAACTTGATAAAAGACTACCTAAGAATGCTACAGACAAAGTTTGGTGATCATCCATCAATTAGTTCTGTAGAAGAAGATGTCTAAAGGTTTTTCTATTTTTAGCCCTAGAGACCCCTAAAAGGGGCCAATCAAATAATATGAGCAAACTTGATAAAATACTACCTAAGAATGCTACAAAGCTTGGTGATCATCCACTAATTAGTGCTGAAGAAGAAGACATTTGAAGGTATTTCTATTTTTAGCTTTAGAGATTCCTTAAAGGGGCCAATGAAATTAATATGAGCAAACTCAAAATTCAATATTTTACCATTTCATGTTTAAATGTTGAATTCTGCTTAAGCCGGTGCTAGGGGGCGTGGACGGTAACTTGCACTTTCCAGTACCGTCCATGAACAGGCTCAATCAAACCGAGCCTGCAACATTTTCAATTTTGCCGTGTTGGGCTTTCTTTAGGGATTCTGTATTTATCTATTATACTATTTGATAAAAGACTTCCAAAGAATGCTACAAACAAAGTTTGGTGATCATCCAT